TGCCAAAAGTGAAAGACTTGAATCCCAACGATATGTCACTTGTTTTGGACAATCCTTACGGAAGTACTTGTGATGGCATTTGGAGTCAATATTTTTAATTAAATTCGTTTTTACAATAGTTTAATCATCAAAAATAACCAAATTTACTCCCTTTTTGATTTGAACTTCATGTTAGTCACTCATTAATAATCAGAATTAATAATTATATATTTGAATATTAATGCTAAATTAATATTAATTTTATTTCACAATATTTATAATTATATATAAAAATTAAATTTAATAATGAATAAGCACAAACATTAGCAATTATACAGTAAACATAAAATAGGATACTTGCTTAAAAATAGTTGCAGTGTTTATGATCTGTTCAAAATTTAAATGACTTTGCATTAAGTGCAAGTACTGCCTAGTGCATTCCGTACGAGTACTACCAGTGATATTATTCTTATCATTATAACAAACAAATTCTAATATATTAGTGCATCAGACAGTAATTTAGTTGTAAATACTAAAGTTTAGTAACTAAACTAAAATCAATATAAACTTTATATTATATAAAGTACTATTTTCAATTTACTGTTAAGTTTGTAAAAACAATTTTTTGTTAAGTTATATTAGTTAGATTAGCTTATTTGTATAAAATGCTAACTTTTAATAAATTAAATGTTGTATTAATAGTGAGTGTAATAGTGGTGTGCATTGAAAGGTGTGTTTGCGATGAGAGTAATAGTGTTGTCGTGAATACGAGTTCGGGTGGAGTGAGGGGACAGACACTGAATGTTGTGAATCACAAAATCAATCAATTCTTGAATATACCTTATGCTGAGCCCCCGGTGGGCCCACGAAGGTTCAGTCCACCACAACCCCTCAAAACACCTAAACAGGTAAAATATTTATTATTTTCTTGTATTCTTATTAAAAATTAATGTTAATTTACAATGAATTATAGGATATGATTGATGGCACAAAAATCGGTAATTATTGCATTCAAAATACAAAAATGTTTGGACCGATGAGTGAAATAAAGACGAGTGAAGACTGTTTAGCTCTCAATATATGGACACCATTTGTGAACAATAATAATAAGCAAACAAAACAAGAGTTAAAACCTGTTATGTTTTATATCCACGGGGGAGCACTTAGTGTTGGATCAAGTTATCAAGATGTTATTAATGGAAGTGTTTTGGCCACCAATGATGTGATCATTGTTTCCGTTAACTATAGACTCGGACCCTTAGGTTTCCTATACGGTGGCGATGATACCAGTCCTGGAAATGTGGGTTTATATGACCAGTTGTTAGGACTTAAATGGGTATTATTTTCTATGAATTTGTAGTTTATTTTTTTAAAAATTTTACATAAAATTAAATACAGGTTCGAGAAAATATACATTTGTTTGGTGGAGATAAGGATGAAATTACTATAATTGGTTTTAGCGCCGGTAGTTGGTCCGTATCGGCACATGTATTGTCGCCGTTATCTAAGGGTCTGTTTAAGAGGGCTATTATGGAGAGCGGATCCGTTTTGTATAATAAGGACAGACCGGCGCTCAGTACTGTTGAGGGCCTCCAAAAGGCTAAGAATTTGGCGAAAAGTCTTAATTGTGATGAATATGACTACAAATGGTTGGACTGTTTGCGAGCCATTGATGACCCAAACCTTTTCATAGAATATCCCAAAAATGGAAATATGATTGAATTCACTCACGCCGTGTTTGGCACTCAATTTCTACCCGTATTACCACAAAAAGCATTTAATACAGGCCTATTTAATTTTGGTAAGAATCTATATTATTATCATTATTATGGTAATTGTTTGACAATAAAATAATATCATTTAGAAATTGAATTAATGGTTGGAGTGACTAAAGATGAGGGACCAATGTTAGCAATGGCTCTTTTCCCCGAAATGAGAGCACCGGGACTAACAGTCGAGACATTCAAAAATGTTGTGAATAGACTGAACGATGAATACCGTAATATAGATGTGGAGGAAGTGTCCGATTATTATCTCAAAAGTATTGACACAACAAATGAGTCCCAATTGAAGGGAGCGTTGAGTGCACTCTATGGGGATTTGGTGTTCACGTGTGCGACCTATCACTTCGCCAAACAANACCGTAATATAGATGTGGAGGAAGTGTCCGATTATTATCTCAAAAGTATTGACACAACAAATGAGTCCCAATTGAAGGGAGCGTTGAGTGCACTCTATGGGGATTTGGTGTTCACGTGTGCGACCTATCACTTCGCCAAACAATTTGCCAAAAGTGGACAAAATGTCTATTTTTATAGATTTAATCAGCAGAGTCATTTCTATGCAAACTTGCGAATAACTGTATGTTCAGGTGATACCATATGTCACGGCGCAGACCTCCCTTATGTGTTTGGGTCACCACTTGTTTCCCAAAAGATGTTCACAGAAACTGATTATGATTTCAGTATTGAGATTATGAAGATGTTAACTGATTTTGCCAAAAATGGGTCAGAATTGTT